TTTTTTTTTTTTTTTTTTGAGACAGGGTCTTGCTCTGTAATTCATGCTGGTTTTAAACTTACTATGTAGCCCGGACTGGCCTGGAACTGACAGTGATTCTCCTGCCTCAGCCTCCCAGGTGCTGGGATCACAGGCGTGCACCGTGATGCCTGGCTGGTACTATATAAATTTTTAAAATTAGGGCTGAGGCAGGAAGATGGCAAATTGAAAGTCCAGCCTGGGCAACTTGTTGGCTTAGGAGGACCTTGTGTCAAAGTTGTAAAAAGGGCTGGGGGTGTGGCCTGGGCTCAGCCCACAGCACTAAATCAGTACCGAATAAATAAGTAGGCTGGGGTGTAGATCAACACGCTTAGCATGTGTGAGTCCTGGGTTCCATTCCCAGCCCTTTTTAAATTTTATTTTGAGACACAGTCTTGCTAATTTGCCCAGACTGGGCTCATACTTGTGATCCTCCTGCCTCAGCTTCCTAAGTATCTGGGATGACAGGCGTGATTCACTACTCCTGGTTGAATTTTCTTTTTTTCTTAAATATTTTAGATATACACATGCTCATGCTTGTATTCCCAAATGAATGAACTCATAAAACGTGCCCAATTATCCAGGATTCCCCCTCACCACGTGTGGACAGGAAGTGGCTTGTTTTAATTTCATATTGGAGAATTGAAAACCCACCAGGGGGTCACCCTCAGGGGGCTGGAGGGAGGGAGTTGAATTCTTTACTGTAAGGCCAGTGGGAGCCATGGATGGTATTAGAGTGAGGGTTGGACCTTCTGGGAGTCTGGTGTCCAGCTGGGGAGATGCCAGGAGGTCTCCAGCCTGTGGCTCAGCCCTGCCATCCAGTCCTGCTGGGGGTTCCTTCCCCACTGTTGCCATCCCTGACCCGCCGGGGCCTCTTGGTGCATCCAGTGGAAGGCAGCGGGCAGGCGGGCAGGGCAGCGCCTTCTGGCCCTGGTGACCCCGCGGGGCCCCTATCACACGCCCCATCTGCCATTCGCAATGAATCAACAGCCAGAAAACCACAGCCTGTTCCTTCTCGTCAGCCGGGGCAGGCGTGGGCCCGTCAACGGCTGAGCCGGGTGGGGCGGGAGAGACCGTTGCTGCCGGCGGCTGTGCAGCCCTGGGCTCCCACTCGTCCTCTCGGAGCCTCCGGGTGCCAGCCTGGGAGAGTCCTGACCCCGCCCTCTGCTTTGCCCAGCTCCTGGGGAGGGGAGGGGAGGTTTGGGCAGAGCTCCCGAGCTGCTCAGCGCGGGTTTGCAGGCAGACAGAAGCAGGGACCGAGCCCACGACCCCTCTTTCGCTGTCTCCCGAGGAATCGTGCTGCCCCTCCCCCAGACTCCCCAGCCTGCTTCTAGGGTCCTAGGTCCGGGAGGATGAGGCAGAGCAGTCTCTTGGCCTGATTTGAGAAAGCCTCTTTGATCTCCAGTTCAACTCCCAAGTTTTTATGCCCAAAGGGACTGTCTGGCCTGACTCCTCTTGACCCCAAAAGTCATTTTGTTCACTTTTTTTTAGACAGGAACTCGCTGTGTAGTTTAGGCTGTGTTTGAAGTCACTCTATAGCCCAGGCTGGTCTTGAACGCAGTGATCCTCCTGCCTCAGCCTCCTGAGTGCTGGGATGAGGTACATGCGCCACCATGGCTGATTTAGGTCCCTTATTTAAAATCAACTCCCTCCACCCGCACTCCCCCCACATCCTTGTTCTCTTTTTCCCACAGAACTGGCCACTGCGTGGGGCCGTGGGGCATGGGGCATAGCTCAGTGGTGAGCGCTTGCCTAGCGGGCATGAGGCCCTGGGTTCCAGCCCCAGCACAGCAAAAACAAAACAAAACAAAACAAAACAGCCCTGGCGCGGTGCCCACACCTGTCATGGTAGCTACTAAGGAAGCTGAGGCAGGAGGTTGGAGCCCAGCTTAGGCCGCTTAGGGAGAGTGGGTCTCAAAAAAAAAAAAAAATGAAAAGGCCTGGGGCTGTCGCTCACTGCGGAATGCTTGCCTCGCGGGCACAGGCCCGAGTTTCAACCCCAAAAACGAAAGAAAAAGAATTTCTCATCATCCAGCCGGCTGGGATTGCTTTTAGTTCTTTTCTCTCCCTGGCTAGAATGCTGGCAGGTTCCGTCCCTTGCCCGCTGTGTCCGCGGTGCCCGGGACCTCGCCTGGTGCAAAGCAGCGCTCTGTAAGCGTGTGCTGAGGGCAGCCACGAGCCCTCCCACATCTGCCCTCTGCACCTTTGAAAACTACCGGTCCCCACGGGTGAGACCTGAGTTCCCAGCCCTGCCATCCCACTGGGGCAGCCCCTGGGAAGCCACACGCTCACTCCATGCCTCAGTTTCCTTATCCGTCCCAGGGGGTGGTGAGAGCAGCCACAGATCCACGTGAGCAGGAGGTGCTGCTGGGCCTCAGTCATGTCTATGTGCTGCTCCCCAGCCTGCCACTGACCCTGGGGCTTTGGCACTGAGCTCCATCCCCAGCCCTTCTTTTAATTGTTATTTTAAGACAGGGTCTCACTAAGTCACTGGGCTGAGACTCGCCGTCCTCCTGCCTCAGCCTCCCTGTGTGCCGGGATGACAGACCGCAGCCCTCAGCAGAAGATGTGATGTCAGCTCCTAATTGGCCACGAGGAGGGTGGCACTCCAGGCGGTGTCAGCAGCCCCAGGGGTGGGGTGCGGGGGCCACCCTTCTCCAGAATGAGGAAGGAGGCTCAGCGGCCACCGCGGGTTGGGGACGCAGCAAGGGGTTTTCGAGTGCCTTCCCACGCTCAGCGGCCCCTCTGAACCTCGGCTGGACACCTCACAGCCAACCTGTCGGGCCGGGTCCGGGCAGGTTAGGGGTGGGCGGGAGCCTCCTCCCCTCCGCCCTCCACCCTCCGCGGCCCCGCCCAGTTCCCAGCAGAAGGCCTCTCCGAAGCCCCAGCCGGCTCCCCGGGGCCCCAGGCGGCCCGGCACAGTCCTTGGGGGACAAATTCCCCAGACCTGGGCAGCCGGCAGGGCTGGGGGTGCCCTGCGCAGTGAGGGGCCAGGGCGATGCCCCCTGGTGCCCTCTGAGGCACCCCCACCATGGCCCACTCGCTGGCCTGGTCCTGCTGTCCCTGGTGCCTGACGGAGGAGGAGAAGACTGCGGCCAGGATCGACCAGGAGATCAACAAGATTCTCCTGGAGCAGAAGAAGCAGGACCGAGGGGAGCTGAAGCTGCTGCTGCTGGGTGAGCAGGGGCCCCACCTGGTGGGGACCGAGGGGCGAGGCCGGGGGACCGACAAGGTGCCTGAGGACCCATTTCCTGGATGAGAATGCTGACGCACAGAAAAGCCGGGTTCCTCATGGGAGCTGGGAATGGTGGCCTCCTGGGTCCCCTGTTCAGGGTACAGGTAAAGAGCAGAGGTGGCTCAGACGTGTGGCCCGGTGGGGGCTCTGGGGCCAGCTGCTGGGCAGGCCCAGCACATCCCGTGCCTATGTCATGGAAAGGGAATGATGTGCTTGCTCAGCGCACAACCTGCCCGGCCGGCTGGCCAGCCGCAGGGCGGGGCCACTGCAACCTCTTCATCTGTTTCCAGGGAGGAAGGCGCTCAGCTCTCCCTGGCCCCTGTATCCCCTGCCCCAGCCAAGGAGGGCTTGTCTGGGGTTTGTCCCGGGGCCAAGATTGATTGAGTGAGTGACGGGTTACACAGCCTTTCATTTGTTCATTCATGTAAGTTACTGAGTAACTCCTAGGGACATAGCAATGGAATGTTTTGGTTTTTTTTTGAGAGAGGGTCTCACTATGTAGTTCAGGCTGGCCTAGAACTCAAAGTGATCCTCCTGCCTCAGCCTCCTCAGTTCTGTGATCACAGGCGTGTGCCACCGCACCTGTCTCCACTTCATTCTTGATGTCGGTCCTCGGCATCTCGGTTCCTTTCTTTGCTGACCCAGCAGTGAGAGTTTCTCAGCTTGAGGATCTGTCCTTAAACAATGTGGCCCTGCCCTGTCCACAGCTCTCCGCCTCTCCCGCCGGCCACTGCAGGGTGGCCCTTTCGAGCCACGCAGGTCAGAGCCGCAGGGCCACCTCCCCTGAGACGTCTTTCCTGGCCACCGGTCCCCCAAACAGCCCCCATCCCCTCTCCCTGTCTCTGCTTGATGTCTTCACTGTCTGCCCTTCCCGGGCATCCATGCGTCCATCTGCCAACCCTTCGTCTGCCACAGGGACCGGGTCTGTCTTGTTCATGCGTGTGTCCCCGTCTCAGGCCACAGGTGTACACTGGGGCTGTGGGACAGCAGGTGCTCTACAAATGCTTACAACGGGGCACGATGGTGCACAGTTGTCATCCCAGCCCTGAGGGAAGCTGAGGCAGGAAGATTGCAGGTTCAAGCCCAGCCTGGACAACTTAGGGAGAACCTGGGTCAAAATAAAGGAATAAAAAGGGCTGGGGGTGTGGCTCAGTGCGAAGTCCTGGGTACCATCCCCACTTCTCAAAAAACAAAAAGCGGGCCGGGGATGTAGCTCAGCGGCATAAGCACTTGCCTAGCAAGCCTGAGGTCATGAGTTCGACTTCCGGTACCAAAAAAAACCAAACAAACCAAAAAACAAAGAGTAAGTAAGTCTTCCATGCGGATGAGCGGGTGCACGGACCCTATCTTGGGGGAGTCCCTGGCACGCCTTCCTGAACCAGGCCATCCTAGCCCAAACCAGGAAGCCCCTCTTGGGAGCACCGGGGGCCATCTGCGTCCCTGGTGCTGATCCCGGCAGTCCCATCGCTGGGCCGCCTCTCCACTCCCCGCCCTGCGTGAAAACAGGAATCAAATCCAATCTTTCTTTTTGTTTCCCTGGAGGAGGCTGAGCTTCTTTGAGGAAGCTGCCAAGGGCTGGCTGGGGTGCAGAGGGTAGGGGGGGGGGGGAGGGCATTTGTCCTGAGCATGAAGTCATCGCCTGGCGGGGTGGTCAGGAGGAAGTTGCGGAAGAACCAGCCCTGTCCCTAGCACGGCGGGGTGGACTCCCTTAGCATCCCCGGCTTCAGAAACCGCGACAGAGAGGCCCTACTGGTTCTCTGAGGTCACACAGCGCTGACACTGGCTCCAAAGTCTGTCCCGTTCCTCTGTGTCTGGGAGAGAAAAGCCACAGTCTCCCGATGACAGATGAGGAAACCGAGGCCCGGGGAGGCACCAGGTTTGTCTGGGGTTTGCAGAGTCCAAACCAGAGGTGGACTCAGGAGCTGAGCCTCCTGTCCTGTCCCTACCCCAGCTGCCTCAGGCCTGGCCCTCTGTCCCCAGCCGCCGTGTGTCCTGGGCCCTGGTGCTGGGTCCCCGTGAGGGCCGGGGCTGGGCACAGCACACCCGCTCCTTCCTGGCATCGCCTGGTTCCACTTCCTCCTCCGTCTCCAGGAGGAAGCAGCCGTTTCCTGTCTGGGCCGCTCGACCGCCAGGTGGGAAGGACGCTTCCCACAGCCCACAGCCCACCCCTGCTGGGGCTTTCCTGAAGCAGACCGTGCCCTCCACCTATGCCCGAGTCCGTCGCAGCTTTCGGAAAGTGACAGGCTTCAAAGACAGAATTCTGGCGGCAATTTTGGTTTCTTGAGACAGAGTCTTGCTTTGAAGTTCAGGCTGGCCTTGACCTCAGAGCAATCCTCCTGCCTCAGCCTCCAGAGTGCGGGGGATTACAGGCTTATGCACCATGCCCAGCTAGTGAAAAAATTCTAGAAATTTTAAAATTTTCAATACTGGGGATGGAACCCAGCAGGGCCTCTCCCCTGAGCTGCATTCCCAGCGCCCCCCTTTTTTTTTCCGTACAGAAAATTGAACTCACAACCTAGTGCTTGCCAGGTAGGCACTGTGCCACTGAGCTAAATCCCCAGCCCTCCCAGCCCTTTCTAAAATTTATTTTGTTCTTTTGTTTTTTTGAGACAAGGTCTTGCTACGTAGCTCAGGCTGGCCTTGACCTCAGAGAAATCCTCCTGCCTCAGCCTCCTCAGTGCTGGGATTGACAGGCTTGTGTCACCACACCCAGGTTTGTTTTCGTCTTTAACGAAACCGAAGAGAAAAAAATCAGAGCAGTGAAACAAAAAACCCAAAAAAGTTAACAGTGGCCAGATCACACTTCTGCTTCTTGTCTGGCCTTTTAGGGGAGACCTGAGCTCTGAGATTTCCAATGTGATGGGAAGGGAGGAAGTCACAGGGTCCGCGTCTCCCTGCTGTGTACAGCAGCCCCGGGGAAGCTGTCTCATGTCCCAGCACCCACAGAGACACCACACTCACTGACACACTGCTGATGCCAGCCCCTGCTCCTGTGGTGAGGGGCATTTGGAGACCTGGATTATTCTCTGGTCCTCCTGTAGCTGTGTAACTTCAGGGAAGTTACTTGATGTCCTGATCCCTACGTTTCCTTTATTTTTTATATTTATTTATTTATTTGTCTTTTTTTGAGACAGGGTCTCACTATGCAGTTCAGACTGGCCTTGAGCTCACTTTGTAGCCCAGGCTGGCCTCAAGCTCGCAACGATCCTCCTGCCTCAGCCTCCCGAGTGCTGGGATTACAGGTGTGCGCCACCATGCCCGGCCTTATATTTCCCTTAGAAATTGCAAAATAGCAAAAACCTACTCAGTCTTTTGGCTGGCAGCCTAGGCGATGATAACAGTTAAATCCTTTTCACTGTGATTATTATTTTTATTATGCTGATCCAGGCAAGGTAAGGGAAACGTGCAGGTGTCATCGTAGAAGCGGGGGTTACAGTTAACAATGTTGGAAGAGTAAAAATTGGCTGGGAGGGGTGGGTACAGTGGTGCCCATCTGTCATCCCAGCACTCGGGGAGGCTGAGGCAGGAGGATCCTGAGTTCAAGTCCAGCCTGGACTACATAGCAAGACCCTGGTTTAGAAGAAAAAGGGCTGGTGATGTAGCTCAGTGGCAGGGCATCTCAGCTTTGGTCCCCAGTATCACACAGGAAAAAAGCTGCAATAAAGAAGTTTCCATTCGAAAGACACCAGTGTTTGAAGGTGGATAATCAGCTCTCTTGCTCTGATCGTTCTGTGATGTCTATGTGTGCCGAAATGTCACACTCCAACTATAAACACCTGCACATATTAAACATTGATTAATAACTAATTTAAAACATAGAAGCCCAAGTGCTTGAAACTCAGACAGGACGGGGTTGAGTCCCAGGTTGGCCACTAACCAGCCTCATGATTCTGGGTGATTCCCTCTGTCAGTCTTGCTTTGTTTCTGAGACAGGGTCTCTCTGTGTAGTTCAGGCTGGCCTTGAACTTGCAGTGATCCTCCTGCCTCAGCCTCCTGAGCGCTGGGATCACAGGTGTGCACCATCACACATGGCCCCTCGTCCAGCACGAGACTGTTTCCCCATTTCTCAAACAGCCCGGAAGCAGGAGTCCCATCCCTCTCACCTCCAAGCTCAGGCAGGATGGAGCCTCTCCGACTCTTAGGAAAAAAAATACAGAAATAAATAAATAAGCAGGGTGTGTGGCACGAGCCTGTAGTCCCAGGATTCGTGAAGCTGAGGCAAGAGAATCTCGGTGGATTCAAGGCCAGCCTGGACTACACAGTAAGATCATGTCTCAAAAAAACTAAGTAAATAAGCAAATCATGAGCTCTGAGCCAAGGACCAGCAAGTTTAGGGGCACCTCTGCCATCCCCAAGTGGTCCAAGCTCCCAAACCCAGCAGGAGACCCCCAGGCTCCCCCTGAGGGAGGTGTTTGCTTCTCTGCCTGTCACCGCCCTAGTGTCCCTGCAGGCCCGTTAGTGACTCTGATGTGCATCTGTCCCGAAACACAGCACACTCCGGAACCTGAGGCAGGGATGGCCCATGATGGGGACGCTCAGATGTGAGGCTGGGGGCGTCCCCCGCATGCGGCACTGGGGACAGGACCCAGGGCCTGCGTGCTGCACTCCATTGCCGCCCCCGTTTATTTTTATTTTGAGACAGGGACTCATCAAGTCGTTAAATGGCCCAGGCTGGACTCCAACTTTTGATCCTCCTGCCTCAGCCTCACAAAAAGCTGGGCTTGTAGAGGTGCTCCACAGCCTTTGGGTTTTTTGCAATCTTTAAAAAGCAAGAACCATAACCATGAAAAAAAAAAAGTACTGGAACTGCACAAATCACAGGAAATGTAAGATGCTGCTGGTCATAAGAAGTAGGCGGTGGTCAGACTGGGCAGGAGCTCTGGGTTGCAGACTGCCCCAGTGCCCGCATGAAGGGATCGAGTCAATCTGCACACACAGCGATTCCGGGGCAGGGCCTGCTGCCGCTCCCCAGGTACAGGTGGGGAAACCGAGGCGCAGAGGAGCAGCGTCTGAGGCCCAGGGTCCCAGGGGAGCCCTTGCTGGGTTGGGCCCGGAGCCGGGCGGGGGTTGGGGCGTCTCTGAGCCGGCGCCCAGGTCGGGGCTCGCGGCTGAGCGGTGCGGTCCCCAGGGCCGGGCGAGAGCGGCAAGAGCACGTTCATCAAGCAGATGCGCATCATCCACGGCGCCGGCTACTCAGAGGAGGACCGCAGGGGCTTCCGGCCGCTCGTCTACCAGAACATCTTCGCGTCCATGCAGGCCATGATCGAGGCTATGGAGCGGCTGCAGATCCCCTTCGGCAGGCCGGAGAGCAAGGTGAACCTGGCCCACGGCTGCCTGGCTGGGGAGGGGCGCTCCCGGGCACCGCGTCCCAGGACCGGTCCAAATCCTAGCCGCGTCGGGGTTTGTAATACGCTCTGCTGCAAGGACGGTGGAAAACAGGGTGGGGGGCGCAGGTGGATGGGAAATGCGGGCGCCTTTTTTTGCCAAAACGAACTCACGCCTGTCAGCTCAAATTGGGGAGGCTGAGGCAGGAGGATCGCAAGTTTCAGCCCAGCCTGGGCACTTTAGTGACTCAGTGAGACCCCATCTCAACTAAAAAATAGAAAGGGCTGGCTTGGAACTGAGTAGGAAGGCCCTGGGTTCCGTCCCCAATGCCACCAAGATTAAAAAAAAAACTGTCCAGGCCTCCACTGCGTGACCTGACCACGACCCTCTGGTCCCTCCGGGAGGTGACAGGTGCTGAGTGTGGGCACGGTGTGGGGTCACTTTGACACAGGGCGGGGCGAAGCCTGGGGTCTGTGCTGGAGTTCCCTGCTGCGCCCGGGGACCAGGGTGGCTGACCTCGGAACCCACACCAGACAAATGGCTTTTTTGCTCTGTCCCTCAAAATGGGGACAGCTCTGGTGACTCAGCTCAGAAGAGCCAGTCCATATAAGGAGTGAGCACCAGGTGCCCAGTCCATTTCTGTCCTGCTGTTGCCACAGTGGCAGCCCTCCACGGCTCCCTTTAAAAGAACTGGACTCCAGAAGAGGTCTTCCTAGAGAAAGGGGATTGGTGTTGGGGTGTTGAAGGATGAATAGGAGTTCACTAGTCCCAACTCTGAAGGGTGTCTTTCCTTCTGTGGGTCAGGGCATGCACTGGGGGTGAGGGAGCAGCCAAAAGAAGCTTTCAGAGGGAAAGGAAGGCAGAGGGAGAGAGTGGCTGGGGACAGGCGTGCAGAGAGGTCTGGGGTGCCTCCCTGCAGGGTATCTAACCCTCCCCGTGCTTCCCTCCCCAGCACCACGCCAGCCTAGTCATGAGCCAGGACCCTTATAAGGTGACCACGTTCGAGAAGCGCTACGCAGTGGCCATGCAGAGTCTGTGGCAGGATGCGGGCATCCAGGCCTGCTATGAGCGCAGGCGCGAGTTCCACCTGCTGGACTCCGCCGTTTAGTGAGTCTGGGGTCTGGGGAGGGGTCAGGGACGTGGGCGGGTCCAGGGGCAAGGGGCGGGGCCCTAGTAAGTGTGGGAGGAGCCAGAGGTGGTGGTGGGACGGGCCAAATAACTGGGCGGGGCCAAGGCCAGTGGGCGGGGCCAGAGGCTGCAGGTGCTCTGGATCCCCCGGCTCCTCCCCGTGAGGAGGGTGCGGTGGGCGAGTCCTGCGCCAGGGCCATGTCCGTCTGGGGACCTGGTTCCCCGGGTGACGCCAGATGTCCAGGGTGATTTGGTGGCTGGGGCAAGTCTGTCTCAGGGTGCCGCCATTCTCGGGGCTACTCACCCTTGAGGTCGTGTTGCCTCTCACTGCCTGGGGGATTGGTTCCTGGCCCCCTGCACGCCCAGCAGCTCCCTTCCCTGGCTGGTCCTCGCTGGGCCCTGCGGAGATCAGAGCAGTACAGGGAGGCTGGCTGCAAGGCCCGGCCTCAGTGCGCCTTGTCCTGCAGCTACCTGTCCCACCTGGAGCGCATCACTGAGGAGTGTTACATTCCCACGGCCCAGGATGTGCTGCGGAGCCGCATGCCCACCACCGGCATCAATGAATACTGCTTCTCTGTGCAGAAAACCAACCTGCGGTAAGTGCTCAGCCTGGGTCTAGCCTGGGGTTTGTCTTATGTAGGGGACAAAAGAGCCAGGGCCCTGAGGGATGAGTAGGAGTTTCTACGTCTCCAATTTGAAGGGTCTGATGGGCTGAAGGAGGCAAAGCAGACATAAAAAAATTTCCATCCCCTTGTATAGTCAGGACTGGGGCCTGGAGGTGCCCAGAGTGAGATACCAGTGTTCCAGAAGAGGGTTTCGTGCAGGAAGGACGTTGGTATTGGGATGGTGGAGGATAAGTAGGAGTTAACTAGTCCCAACCCTCAAGAGGCTGCTGGGGAGGAGGCGACAGAGACTGTGTGGTCAGGGTTAGGCAGAGGGGCGACTGCAGGGCTGGGGGCTCCGAGGGTGGTCTCTAGTGGCTGCCGTCAGGTGGACGGGGGGTTGAGGCTGGGGCCAGGACACCCTGGCAGGGCAGGACGGTGGCTGTGTGGATGGAGAGGAGGGGGCAGCGCAGATGGCCAGGCCGAGGGAGCCGTGGGACCAGGGCAGGGGCCACTGACGAGTGAGCTGCTGCCACAGCTGGTGGGCTGGGCGGGGACGGGTGAGACCGTGGAGCCCCTTGGGGCAGGTGGGTCCTGGGGGGCCGGAGGGCGGCGGGGGTGGGGGCGGGGGACGGCCGCATGGGGAAGCGGGTGGATGGTCAACTGCAGGGGGTTGTGCTGCGGGGTGACGGCCATGCCAAGGTCTGGGAGGACAGGAAGGACTGAGAGACCAGACTGGGGCTGCAGTAGAGAGCTATCGCGGCCTCAGCCAGGCCCGTTTCTCCGGCCAGTGGAGGGGCGCTGAGGAGGGCCCCAGGTGCTGCCTGGTGCCAGGCCCCGTGCTTAGCCCTTGCCGGGCCCTCCCATCCCTGGGTGCCAGGCGTGCTGCTCTGCACCCCAGTGTCTTTACCAGTTGGTCCGTAGCACTTGGACGGCTGTCCCTAGCATAGGGGGAGCCGGACGCATCTGTGCTGGGGTCAGCTCAAGACGAGAGTGGGTACCGGTACCTGGGGGTGGATGGAGGAGGACGGGCGGGCAGGCGGTTAGATAGTAGGGTGGAAGAAATGATGAGTGGGTGGGTGG